TTTAAAATTTGTTCCAGGAGGCGCCCGAGAAGCATGCCAAGAGACCCCGACAGGTAATTAGTCAAGCAGACTCTGACCCCTATCCCGAGAGGCCCCCCAGGGGGTCCAGCTGCCCCCTTAAGAGGGCCCCAAAACGGCCCCCAAAGGGCCCTTGACGGTCCAAGAGGCGTCCCAAGAGAGCACCAACACTGTCATGCTTCCAAAGAGTTCCCCACAATTCGGCGAATTGCCTCATCGCTTCTGCTCGCGGCATTGCGACTCAGTTTTTTTTTCATCATCGCAATTTGCTGTAACGAGTAGGCGCGTAGCTTTGCTGCACAAGCTGTGAGGGCAGAGCGGCACGCACCCGCAAATAGAAGGTTGCACCATTCCCGGTCGCATTGCAGACAGTGCATGCTTTACGGTGCGTCTCCATGCTGCCAGGTGCGTAGCTTGGCAGAAATGTGAGATGGCAGTGGGATACACCCGCATATAGCAGGGGGGGCCCATTGCCGTTCGCACCGCAGACCTTGCCTGGTACATGTTGCTCCAGATGGAAAAAGGTTCTAAGCGTTGCCAGCGTCGCCTAAGAGGGCCCAAGGGCAGCCCGAGAGGGCCCCAGGATGCATCCAAGATGGCCCCAGGGTCCCACGAGGATATCTAGGCGACCAGCATAAGTCAAACCATGCGGCAGTCTTATTAGTAGTCAACGTGCCATTTCTGTCCTCTCATGATGAGTCCATGAGGGCTGCGTGGGACTCAGATGCCCCCGCAAGGACTCCAAGACGGTCCCAAAAGAGCCTCGCGACAGACCAGGACAGCCCAAAGACGCTTCCAAACAGGGCTCAAGGGAGTTCGCAGAGGCCGAAGACGGGCCAAGAAGGCCCCAAGACGCCCAAAGAGGATCGCAAGACTGCCCCAAGAGGGCTCCTAGAAGACTCTTCCGCGACTTCCATTGAGCTCGTCGTGAAGTCTTTGAAGCCACACAGCATGGGCAAACGCTGTATTCTTAGCCGCGTGAAGCGAAAAGTGCTTATGCCCCAGCGCTTTAGTATGCTTCGGGGGACAAGAACTTTAGCTGCTGACGCCAATCAGATCAGCCAGCTACCCGCGGGACCACGGAATGTTTCAGGCGAGGGGTGTCCCCGAATGGGCGGAGAGACGCTATGCGGCACTTAGCCAGTGAGGCATTCGGTGGAGCGAAGACCTGTGGCCACCAGGAACACAACGCGCGCGAGGAACTCTACGAGGCTTCCGGCGGTGACCAGGTTCACGGCTCACCGTTTGCACCCAGTTGTTTCGAATTTGGGGTTTCGGTGCCAATCTTGCGTACATACGGACAGACAGACAGATAGACAGGCATACGCATAGCAGGCCCGGGGCCCGAAAACAGCGCTGCCTCGACCCTCAATGGGGGGACCAGGGCTCATTTTCCATTTGTTTTTGCAGGGTTTCCGCGTCCTGGGCCTTGGAGGCCGCCGCCTCCGACCCCCCATGAGAGGACGGGGCGGCCGGGGAAGTCCAAAATAGTCCAGGAGGGCCTCCAGAGGCTCCCCAGACGGCCCAAGCGGGCCCCGGGAGGCTTCCGGATTGCCCCAATGTGGTCTCACGCCGGGCCTCCACGCAGCCAAGACGGCCAATTGACTGCTTCAGACGGCAGAACATAACTTTCCGACTGCCCGGAGAACCTTGACGATGCCCCCAAGGGACCCCAAGAAACCCCAAGATGCCCCCCGATAAGCACCCAAGAGGTGCTTCCAACAGCCAATTGAGGAAGCACAGAGAAACCCCCAGAAGCCCTTCAGATGCCCCCATGAAGACCCAAGAGGTTCCCAAGAGGCCATCAGGAGGCACGACTATGTCACACGCCTGTGCTTGATAGCGCTGTCCAAGATCTTCTAGCGCGCCCCCAGCCTGGGCTAAACCTGAGCGCGCGCGAAGCGCGCGCGATGGTTCTAGTATTTATATTTATATATATATATATATATACATATATATATACATACATATACATATATATATATATATATATATATATATATATTAAAAAAGTTCTTAGCCGTGTAGCGCACGGCGGGACGCCAAGCTTTCAAAGAACAAGTTGCTCGGAGCTGCATTTGGTCGGAGTTGCATCTGGTCTGGCTGGTCTGGCTGGTTTGGCTGGTCTGGCTGGTCTGGTTTGAGCCCAGTGCTGAAGCTTTAGCTTAGGATCTGGGCGAGAGTGGTTTAGGGGAGGTCCAGGGAGGCAGCGCCGGGGACGACCACCGAAAAGCAGTTTTTTTTGCATTGCAGTTTTTTTTGCATTGCAGTTTTTTTTGCATTGCAGTCTGGCTGGTCTGGCTGGTCTGGTTTGAGCCCAGTGCTGAAGCTTTAGCTTAGGATCTGGGCGAGAGTGGTTTAGGGGAGGTCCAGGGAGGCAGCGCAGGGGACGACCACCGAAAAACGGTTTTTTTTGCATTGCAGTTTTTTTTTGCATTGCAGTTTTTTTTGCATTGCAGTCTGGCTGGTCTGGGTGGTCTGGTTTGAGCCCAGTGCTGAAGCTTTAGCTTAGGATCTGGGCGAGAGTGGTTTAGGGGAGGTCCAGGGAGGCAGCGCAGGGGACGACCACCGAAAAACGGTTTTTTCTGCATTGCAGCTTTTTTTGCATTGCAGTTTTTTTTTTTTGCATTGCAGTCTGACTGGTCTGGCTGTTCTGGTTTGAGCCCACTGCTGAAACTTTAGCTTAGGATCTGGGCGAGAGTGGTTTAGGGGAGATCCAGGGAGGCAGCGCCGGGGACGACCGCCCATGTATTTCAAGCCACGTTTTCGCCCCCAAAAGGTAGCTTGAAATACCAGCTATTTTTTTGGCCGTTCCGTAATGGGCGACGACGACGACGGCGACGGCGACGACGACGACGACGACCGACGACGACGGCGACGACGACTCACACCGCATAGCTTGCATAATACATCCTATACCACATAGATTCCACCGCGTAGCTCAAACAACATAGCATATACCATATAGGTTGCACCTCCATGGTGCAGCAACTTGCTGTTTGGGGCCCGCGACGGCCGACATATTCCAAATTCGCTTCTTGCTTTCGCTGCCACACCCCTTTTGGAGGAAAAAAACACCCATGTATTTCAAGTCACCTTTTCGCCCCCAAAAGGTGCCTTGAAATACCAGCCATTTTTTGGCCGATCCGCGGGCGAGAAATTAATTGGCGACGACGCCCGACGACGGCGACGACGACGACGGCCGACGACCGACGACGACGACGACGACCGACGACGACGGAAAGGGGATGGCGACGGAGGGAACATCAGCAGCCATATCAGTTCTTATGCCCCAAGGCAAAGTAAGGCGCTGGGGCATAAGAACTTTGCGCCTCGAGCGGCTTAGAATACATACGTGCGTACAGACATGCATGCATGCATACATACATACATTCATACCTACATACATACGCACATGCCTACTTACGTACGTGCGTGCGTGCATCGATACATCCATCCCTACATGTATACATACGAAAGAGCGCGTTCTGTGATCTCTTGGAGGGGGGGGGGAACCGGACCCCCCCCCCTCCTCCCGTGTTCGAACCCCCCCCTCCCCCCCCCTCTCGTGACGGAAGGGGGGGGTGGTTCGAACACCCCCCCCCCAGCTTCCCCTCTCCTCGGGCCGGCGCTGCGCTTGGGTCGGCGGCGGCTGGCCACGGCGGCGGGGACGACGATTTCCATTTTTTGGCCGGCGCCGGCGCCTGCGGCGGCGGGCGGCGGTGGCGGGGAGCGTCGACGAGGACGACGGTGGGTTGTGGTGGTGGTGGTGGTGGTGGGTTGGTGGTGGTGGTGGTGGCGGTGGTGGTGGTTGTGGTGGTGTGGTGGTTTGTTGTGGTGGTGGTGGTGATTGTGGCGGTGGTTGGTGGTGGTGGTTGTGGTGGTTTGGTGGTGGTGTGGTGGTTTGTGGTGGTGGTGGTGGGTTGTGGTGGTGGCGTTTTGGTGGTAGTGTGGTGGTTTGTGGTTGTGGCGGTGGTTTGTGGAGGTGGTGCTTGTGGTGGTGTTGGTGGCGGTGGTGGTGGTGGTGTGGTGGTTTGTGGTGGTGGTGGTGGTGGGTTGTGCTGATGGTAGTGGTGGTGGTTGTGGCCGTGGTGGTGGTGGTGGTGTGGTAGATTGTGGTGGTGGTGGTGGTGGTAGTGGTGGTGGGTTACTGTGGTGGTGGTGATGGTGAGTTGTGGTGGTGGTGGTGGTGGTTGTGGTAGGTGTGGTGGTGGTTTGTGGTGGTGCTGGTGGTGGTGGTGGTGGGTTGTTGTGGTGGCGGTGGTTTGTGGACGTTTGCTGTGGTGGTGGTGGTGGCGGTGGTGGTGGTGGTGTGGTGGTTTGTGGTGTGACGGTGGGTTGTGCTGCTGGTAGCGGTGGTGGTTGTGGCGGTGGTGGTGGTGGTGTGGTGGTTTGTGGTGGTGGTGGTGGTAGTGGTGGTGAGTTTTTGTGGTAGTGGTGGTGGTGATGGTGAGTTGCGGTGGTGGTTGTGGTGGTGGTGGTGATGGTTGTGTGGTGCTGTTGCTGGTGGTGGTGGGGGGGGGTTTGAGGCGGTGGTGGTGGTGGTGGTGGTGGTGGTGGTGGTGGTGGTGGTAGTGATGGTCACCGTCGCTGCGTCCCCGCCGTCGCCGGCGCCAGCGTCGGCGCTGCTGGCCGCCGCCAGCGCTGGCGCCGAGGGGGGGCGGGGGGTTTTGACCCCCCCCCCCCCCCTGCGTCCCCGCCCCGCCGTGGCGCTGCTGGCGGCACGCCAGCGCCGGTGCCGGCGCCGAGGGGGGTGGGGGGGGGTTTTGAACCCCCCCTTCCCTTTTTGAGAGGGGGGGGGGTTCGGGCGGGGGGGGGGTTTGAGGGGGAGGGGATCGGATTTTTTTTCGTGGTTAGGATTTGGGCCCAGAGTTCGAAAAGTATACGATTTCCATAGGAAACGAACCCGTGGGAACCCGTGGGAAACCCGTGGAAGCCCGTGGAAAAGGGCAAGCTGATGGTGAGCGCGTGAGGAATGTACATGGTAGTCTGGGCAGTTGTGGCTCAATAGTTGCAATTTTCAGGTAGCTGTGGCCAAATAAGTCCGATGGGCTGTGGCTTGAGCATCTGCTCCGTCCCCAACCACGCCGACGCCACCCTCACGGTGAATGGCGGAAAGCACGTGGCGCACGTCTGCTTTGCTGTCTGCCTCCGTGCCGACGTTTTCCAGCCCAAATACGCGCGCGAACCACCCGGTTGCGTATCGTGTGGAACCCGGCCCTGGCGCGAACTTTTACGGCAAGTACGGCGTGGGCACCCGGTTCACAGGCCGGAACATGATGGGCCAGCAGGAGGTGCTCACCATCAAGGAGATGACGTACCCCACGCGGATCACGTTCAACGCAGGCCCAGTCGACGTCGAGCACACCTTCGAGGAAGTGGGCCAGGGCGCTGCGAACATGAGCCTGTCGATGAAGGGGCCCAAGATGGGCCGTTACCAGAACCACATTGGAATGCAGCTCGAGACCATGCGGGCCTTCATCGAGTTGAACATCGAGCAGATCCTCGCAGCAAATCCACTCGACACCTCGGCGCCCGCCGCGGAAGGGGACTACGTGGAGACGGACCAGCATAAGATGGCAATGGCGGCAGCGCAGAACATGTATCAGCAATCGCTGGCACAGTCGGTGGCCCGGGCCGCCCGCCGATGACGCTGATCGAAGTCACGCCGTCTGCCCCGGGCTCGCCGTGCGCGTGTGCGCGCGCGCCGCCCGAGTGCCACGCTTGAGGTGTGTTGGGTGGAGCCCACGGATACCAAACGGGTGCCCGACACATGATATATATATATATATATATATATATATATATATACACACACACACACACATATATCTCGAAGACGCCTACGGCGAATCACCGCCGCCCCCTGCATTTTTGGAAACGCCTATGTGGCCGAACGTTGAGGCCAGACCTGCCAAGCTATCGGACCATGTGCTCCCCGAGTCGGTTTGGAAAGCCTTCGGGGAACACGTGGGCATTTTGAAGGTCATGATGGCCGTCTGGAGGCCATTTTGATCATTTTTCGGGCCTTCTTGGAGGACGTCTTGGAGGGCTCTTGGACCGTCCTGGATGCCATGGGCCGTCTTGGGGGCCTCTTGGGGTCGTGCCTTGGGCCTCTTGGGCGATCTTTGGGGGCACTTGGGCCGTCTCGGGCCGTCGGAAGGCAGAACAAAAAGCAAATGCCACAATTCTTCAAAAACCCATGGGAAATCAATGATCGTGGCCTTTTCGGGCCTCCTGGGGGCCCTCTTGGAGGCCTCTTGGGCCGTCTTGGCCCATCTTGGGGCCATGTTCGGCCGTCTTGGTGGGCTCCTGGTCCGTCTGACGCCGTCGGAAGCAATTTGGGGGGCCTTTCTGGGCCGATTTGGGGCCCTCTTGGACTGGTCCAGGGCCGTCTTGGAGGCCATCTTGGGCGTCTTAAAGGCCTCCTGTGCCGTTTTGGGTGCCTCTTGGGGCCGTCTTAGGGCCCTCTTCGTTCTGGGGCCATCTTGGAGGTCTCTTGGGCGATCTTTCGGCGATCTTTGGGGGCTCTTGGGCCGTCTGGGGCCGTCGGAAGGCCGAAAAGAAGGAAATGCCAAAATCATTCGAAAACCGTTGGACAATCAAGGTTTTTGGCCTTCCTGGAAGCCCTCTTGGGTTCCTCTTGGTCCGTCTTGGGCCAGCTTCGAGCCAACTTCGGCCATCTTGGTGGGTTCATTGCGCGTCTGACGCCGTCGGGAGCCGTTTGGGAGGCCGTTCTGGGCCGACTGGGGGCCCTCTTGGGGCGTTTCGGGGCCGTCTTGGAGGCCATCTTGGGCGTCTTGGAGGCCATCTTGGGCGTGTTGGACGTCTCTTGGACCCTTTTGGGGTCGTCTTGGAGGCCACTTGGGCCGTCATGGGGCCCTCTTGGTGGCCTCTTGGGCGATCTTGGGTGCCTCTTGGGCCGTCTTGAGCAGTCGGAATGCCGAGAAGAAGCAAATTCCAAAATCCTTCAAACACCGCAGAGAAAAAAAAAAAAAAAAAAAAAAAAAAAACTAGGAGTGCTTGCGCGTGATTGTCTGTGTCCCTCCGTCTCCGCTCAAGTGCATGAGCGTGGGCCGGTCCATGGCCCCTGGCGCCTCCACGAGCTTGGCGGTGGGCGCCGCGGTCGGCGCTCCGGCGGCGTGGTGACAGGGTATGGGGAGCCGCGGTGCGGGCGTGGCGACAGCGAGGAGGGGAGGGGGGGGGTTGCTGTGCGGGTGTCGGGCCGTGGTGGGGGCATGGTGGGGGGCGTTGGTCAAGTTTGGGCGAGAAATTTTCGTGTGGGGGGTCTCTAAAACTAAGCTCTCGAGGGAGTCTGGATGGCGGGGGGCCGCGGTGGGGGCGTGGTGACAGACAGCGAGGAGGGGAGGCTGGTTGGGGCCAGAAATCCCGGGGTCTGGGCGAGAAATTGTCGCATGGGGGGTCTCTGAAACTGAGTTCGCGAGGGAGTCTGGATGGCGGGGAACCGCTGTGGGGGCGTGGTGACGGCGAGGAGGGGGGGGTGCTGTGCGGGTGCCGAGCCGTGGTGGGGGCGTGGTGGGGGGTGTTGGTCAATTCTGGGCGGGAAATTATCGTGTGGGGGGTCTTTAAAATGAGCTCGCGAGGGAGTCTGGATGGCGGGAGCCGCGGTGGGGGCGTGGTGACAGCGAGGGGGCAGGGGGGGGGGGGGGCTGTGCGGGTGCGGTGCCGTGGTGGGGGCGTGGCGGAGGGTGTTGGTCAACTTTGGGCGGAAAACTCGTGTGGGAGGTCTCTTAAATTGAGTTCGCGAGGGAGTCGGGATGGCGGGGGCCGCGGTGGGGGCGTGGTGACAGCGAGGAGGGGGGGCGGGTTGCTGTGCGGGTGCCGGGCCGTGGTGGGGGTCATGGAAAGGAGCGTCGGTCGTTTTTAGGCGAGAAATCATTGGGTCTGGGCGAGAAATTGTCGTGTGGGGGGTCTCTGAAACTGAGTTCGCGAGTGAGTCTGGATGGCGGGGGGCCGCGGTGTGGGCGTGGTGACAGCGAGGAGGGGGGGGGAGTTGCTGTGCGGGTGCCGGGCCGTGGTGGGGGGCGTGGTGGGGGGTGTTGGTCAATTCTGGGCGCGAAATTGTCGTGTGGTGGGTCTCTAAAACTGAGCTCGCGAGGGAATCTGGATGGCCGGGGGCCGCGGTGGGGGCGTGGTGACAGCGAGGAGGGGGGGGTGCTGTGCGGGTGCTGGGCCGTGATGGGGGAAGGCCGATGTGGTGGAGAGAGAAAGAGAGAGAGAGAGAGAGAGAACAAAAAAAAGTGTGATGAACAGGAGGAGGATGCGAGAGCGGAGGGGGGAGGTGCAAGAGGAAATGCACGGTTCCGCCCGTCGGCGGATTTCTGCTATCCCCCATCGCCACCCGTCGCGCTCGCACCCACGTGTGATGTTCAGGAGATCGAGGCTTGGGACGAGCTGGGAGAGTGAAAGTACATGATATGGTTTCAGTCGAAGTTTCTGGATGCATACCAGTTCCCAGGGAGGCCACGAGGGCCGTGCACACCCAAGACGTGGCCCGGAATGAGCTTGTGATGGTGTATACGCTCCCCTCCCCAGTGAAGAGAGGTGGAAGGGGAGAGAGGGGAGTCGGGGCAGGGGGAGCCTTACGGTCGGACCGAGGTATAAGATCGAGGTCGGTTCGGGGAGGGCACCTTGATGTTTTTCGTGGTTGTTGAATGTTCTTGTGCATTCTGGGGGAGGGCACCCTCGAAATGGCTGCAGTTTGGCAGGCGGAAGGCGTCATGTTCTTGGAGGGTGTTCTTTTGTCGTAGGACCAGCCGTCCACGCTCCTCTCACGGAGACCAGTGAAAGAAGTGGCAGGGGGCGCGGGGTCGGGGCAGTTGGAGCCTTATGGGGAGGTGGAGGAGGAGGAGGAGGAGGAGGAGGAGGAGGAGGAGGAAAAGTCGGTCATCACTGATCACGCTCCATGCAGGCAGGCATCTGACACAGGCGCTGCTCCGTCCTGGGAGGGCCCCCGTATGTGGTACGCCGCGCCCTCCGGCCTCGTTCCTCCGCTGCTCGTTTTTCGGCCTCTCCTGCGGCAAGCAAGGCTTCGACGACGACGGATCGTGCATGGACGCAGCCCCTCTTTGTTCCTTGTGTCTCGCCTCTCTTGCCTCTCTCTCTCTCTCTTTCTCTCGTGCGTCTCATCCTCTCGCACACCGTGCCGAACCCACCGACGCGCAGGTTCTCGGTCTGCGGGTGCAGGAGCTGGAGTCTGCCGTCAGAGCCCCGGGCAAGCAGGCGCAGGGGCACGAAAATGCTGCCCTTCCGTGCGCCGGGTGCCTGGTCTCTGCGAGGAGGTCGATGGGGCACCTGTTTGGGGCGCTCTCGGAGCGCTCCCGGAAGCCTTTTGGACCCCTCTTTGGGCTCTCTTGGGCCATCATCCTGAAGTCTCAGAAGCCCATCTGGAGCGAAAAGGCGAGGAGGGTCAGAAGGGTTTTGGCCTAGCGGGGGCGTCCTTGGGAGGCGCCGTGGCCATCTGGAGCCGTCTTGGAGCGCCTCTTTTGGCATGTCGGCAGCTAGATTGAGCCATGGCTCTCAGGGGCCATCTTGGAGCCATCTCGGGTTACATCAGGCGCTCTAACTAGTCGCGAACCACCCCCAGTGCAGACTGGAGGGAGGAGCAAATCCTTCCCCGAAAGGGAAGAGGGAAAGAGGGGAGTTGGAAGATGAAGCGCCTGAGTCCACGTCAGCCCGAAAGGTTTAGTGGGATTCGGGGTCTCAGGAGCGTGCGTCTTTACATCGCACCCTTATTGTCAAGGTTGACTGTGTTCTCTCCGCCGACAGCCTCCGGCGACGAGAAGCTGGATGAGGCGGCGGCGGAAAGCAGGACGAGGGCCCCCACCTCCAGAGAGCACCAGTCCGCATACCGCCGCGCGCGGGCTCTTTCCGCACGATATTGTTGTTTTTAATAAGCTCTTGGTGAAACATGTGTTACCCCCCCCCCGCATCCTTCTGCTGAGGAGGAGGAGGAGATCTGAAAAAAGTGCTGTTCAGACTCTGGGGCGCCCCCAGACTCTGGGGGTTGGGGGTTGCTCCGACTTTGTCTCTCGTTGTCCGACTGTGTCTCCTCGCTCATACCCCCTGCCTCCTTCTCCTGGTCCTCCTCCCTGTTTCTCTTCCTACTCCCTCTTCGCCTGCTTTTCCCAGTCCTTTTCTTCCTATTCCTCCTTTTCCTCCTCCTCCTCCTCAACCTCCTCCTCCTCCTCCTCCTCCTCGCCCCCAGTGCGCCCAGGAGGCTTTCAAGATGGCCCCATGACGGCCCAGGAGGCCCCAAAGACGGCCCCAAGAGGCCTCTAAGACGCCCAAGATGGCCTCCAAGACGGCCCTGAAGCGCCTCAAGAGGACCCCACATCGGTTCAGAGAGGCCCCCAAGACGGCTTCCGACGGCGTCAGACCCGTCAGACGGGCTAGGAACGATTTAAGACTGCCAAGGAGAGGCCCCCAAGACGCCCCCACGGCCCCCAAGAGGCCCGTAGGCGTCTTGGATCCGCCGCCCCCTGTGCTTGCCACAGGGTTGGACGGCGTGCCAGACATTTTGCTGAGATTCTGATTTTCAAACCCTTCCCAGTGGCCTTCGGCCCAGACCGCCTGCCCCTCGGAAGGACCAGAAGGTGTGGCCCACATCGCCACCAAGACGGCCCAAACGGCCCAATATGGTCACCAAGATGCCTCCAAGGCGGCTAGGATCGCTCCAAGAGAGCCCAAGACGGCTCCAATATGTCTCCAAGACGGCCCAAGATGCACCCGAGGCGTCCAAGATGGCCCCAAGATGG